ATCCTTCTGGGGCTGCTTTGTTCCAGTGATCCTGACACAGGAGAGAATCTGGCTCATTGAAATTCAGAACCCACAGAAATATTTGACACAGAATTTTGAATGGTCTGAATTTTTACAAATCAAACTCTAACTCCATTCGCAGTTTGATTTTCTCTTAATGATGGTGTAGGATTTTTTGAATATAAAATATCTCTAGCCTGCTTATTACCCAGGGAAATATATTACTTGTATTCATAAATAACACAGAGCTTGACAGGGAAGAAAATTGCAGTTTGAGCATCGGTTTTATCAGTCTTCTGTTCAAGATTTGAATCTTAGTATCCAAGACCCTATCTCCATGGTAATGTCAAAGAAGAGCAGGACTTGCGTAACCTTGAAAATTAATTTTCTTTTTCTTGACACACCTCAATTTTCTTCAGTCTCGTAAAAATGGAAAGTAATTAAAAGAGTTTTGCATGTTTCCCATCCCCCAACTCCTTCTTGCCTCGCTGCAGAGTCAGATGGTGATGCATGAAAAAGCTGAGATTTTCAAAGCTGCCTCAGGTATTTGAATGCCCAAGTCTCATTCAAATTAATGAATGAAAATTAATGTGAATTGGACATCCACATGATACAGGTGGCTTTGAAAATCTCAGCCAAAGTCCTTTGTATACTCAGTAAGGCCCCACTCATGCAACAAGATCTAACATGGAGCCATAGGCCCATGAGGAATCCTGATGGCTTCAAAGGGACTCTGTGCAGGCATAAGGCTCTATGCTACTGGAGACCACTGAAGGACAAGGACATGTTAGTTTCATAGAGTTTAAGGCCAGTCAACTAACAAGAACAAGGAGACTTAACATAAATAAACTGAGTTCACAGGTAAAAGTGGGGAATGTTTCCCTTTCAAGGTGTGTCAGTATCCGGCCATCCCTTTCCTCAGGAAGGGCCCATGAAGGAAAGCATACTTTTGGGTGGGGAGCTCCTGCCTTTGGTCAGCCCTCTCTTCAGGAGCTGAGCACTGAGGGCCTGCTCTCCTTACTGGTCTGTCATCAACTAGCAGGGACTCTTCCTCTGAAGCTCCTCTCTCCAAGACTAACATTTCTCAGAGGTACAAAGGAGCAGAGCCACCTAAGCCCACATTACCTCATTAACCCCATATTGTCCCATGTAGGGTTTGTTTATCCCAGCACACCTCTATAGTGATCCCAAAGATTTTAGTTAGACTAAAGCATTTCAATCCTCAGGAAATTAAACTGTTGTGTGCCACAGACAGAGAGAACAGGGGAGACCAAGGTGACACCAATGCTCAAGGCCTTTGCAATTGTAAGGAATTGATTAGGTGAGATATACCCAGATGATCCTACCAGGACATCCACACCCAGTGCTGCAGAGGGAAGGCAAAATAAACCCCAAAGGTCACTGCCAATCTGACTGGGGGGAAATTCCTTGCCAACCCCAAATCTGGAGATCAGTATGACCTTGAGCATGTGTATTAGGTTCAATATATCTCACCTAGTGTTTTCTTTAGTAATGTGCCAAAGAAGTGACAGGACCAACTTGTGTCACCCTTTCCTTTAAACTTACACCCCAAACACTGGAAAGCCTGGTTGTAGGTCATCTTCAAGTGTCTCCAGACAGCAGTGTCCTCTGCAGGTGGGCAGAATTGCTGGGCACATTGATGGATGTCTCACAGGGTAGCTTTTTATCATATTGTTTTGGATCTCGATAGGTCTCTGAATTAATCAGTGTTCTGGAGCAGTATGCGACTGGTTTCAGTAGACTATTAAGATCTTGCAGTATTACCCCCTTAATTCATAATCAGTGGCATCCATATCTAGAATGTTTGGGCTTACTGGCAACATAGGAAGTTAGTATTGGGGCTTCAGATAGGAGCTGGTAGACTCTGTAGAATGCCTGCTCTGGTGCTTACTCTAATCCAGGTGCTTGCCCTTCTCAGGAGTTATTCAAAGGATGTATTGTTTCTGACAGGTTAGGTATACATCTGCCAAGCTAGTTAATCAAGCCTAGGCTTCTTTTCAGTTCTGGAATAGATTCAGGAAGCTGCCTTTTCTCAATGATTTTACTCTGGAGCTTGGCTTTCATCTGGAGCATTTATAACATGTCCAAAGAAGTCTAGCTGTTTCTGGTTCAGCAAGCACTTCTCTTCGCTGAGGTTCAGACTTGCAGACTTTATTGTTTCCCAGACAATAGACATTCTTTCAACATATTCCTCTTCCTTGTTTTCCGGTGTTCTGGCAGCATTCACTGGCTTTCGTATGGTGTTCATTGTCATTGTACCTGAGTGCCTCACATACATCAATGAATTTGTTTTCACAACATCCTCTGAGGTAGGGAATTATTACTATCTCCATTTGACAGATGGGTAATTGAGGCACAGAGAAATTAGCTGACTTGAGTAAGATCACACTTGATGTCTATGGCAGACCTGGGAACAGAACACATGTCTCCTGAGTTCTAGTAACAAGACTATTTTTCTTCTCCAACCCATAGCTATGTACTACAATATCATCTACAGAACTGATTACAGTGCTTATTCCAGGTGCTTCATTATTTATATCATTTTCCTTTGGACGGTCTCAGGTGTACTAGTAATACAAAGTTGCAAATTTTCAGAAATAATGCAGTCTCTATAGCATGATAACAGTTATTAACCTGGCACTGTCTGGATGTACAGGCCTTTGCCAAAAACCAGCTGCAGCATCTAAAGGAAAAATGTAGTGACTGCTCTGTGAGAGATTGCAGAGAATGGCAGTGCTCTGTCATTTCCTTTGTAAAGAGAGGAACCAGTTGGTGTAACACCAGCTCCCTCCAACTGAGAACGTTGAGGTTCCCTCCTTTCTGTGTCTACATTATGGAAAACGTTTGTGGTTAGTAAACCTTGATCTCTTATCCTAATATAGACAAACCCTAAATGATCTGCCCCAGCTCACATGGAAAGTTGGAGATAAACTTAGGAATTGAATCTAGATCCCCTGAGAGCTATACCAAGTGCATTAACCAAAAGACCATATTGGCTCCTTATAGATAAGCATCTCTAGTTGACAGCAAATTAGACATGAATTTACACTACGACCATAAAAAAGGCCAGTGTCCCTTTAGATTTCACATACAAAAGGCATGGCATCATTGAACAAAAGGGGGATAGTTTCTCTCTCCTGTACCATGTATGGCTCTTGTGCAACTGTCCATAGAATATTGCATTGAGCATCTCACTACCTCAAAGACAGTGACAAAGTGCAAAGAATAGCTACAAAATGACCTTGGTGCTAGAGAACTTGATTTAGGAAGCAAACAGGGTAGAGGGATTACAGTCTGCAAACATTTGATAGATGCAACACCAAGGAGGGAAAGGAATTGTTTAGGGTATTACATGGTGGTATAACTAGGAGTAATGGGATGAAATTACGAGGAGAAAAATGTGGATAACTATTATGAAAAAGTCTTAATCAAATGAGATGTGGAATAGAGAAGTGGCAGAAGCCCCATTGCTTGGGACTATTAAAACAAACCAATAATAGGGAACAATCCTGCAGTGGCTGGGAGATGGACTGTGTGAACTAGGTCTTTTCCATCTCCAGTTTCTATGATGAAAGTATTTTTGGATCCTTCAGGATGAAAGACATTGCAGGAATGTAAGTTATTACTATTCATTTTACACAGATGGACCAAAGAAACCATCAAAAGAAGACATGTTTAAAATTAACATGAGCAAGGAAAGAAAGGTTAAAGTCATTTTTTTTATCAAAGTAAGTTAAACTAGGCTAATTGGTGCTATTCGGAGACAGTACAAGTGATTGATTTCTTGCAACACTAAACTGCAAATGATAATTCAAACCTCAGAAAAAATCTCTAGTGGAGGTTGCACCAAATGAAGTCATGGCTGGGGAATTAGTGAATTTAAAACCTGAGAACAAGTAGGATAAGGATGGAATATTTTAGGTGGAGGAATTTCCCTGGCTTTCTGTACAAATAAATTAACGGTGATGATCCATAAATGGTAGGGCAACTTTCACATTCCTCTGAGATTTTGATGCCTCTTCTAATTTTTCTCACTGTTCAGAATTTTGCTTCATGCTAGAATTAAAGATGGAGATATATTTAAGAACCCACATCCTCCATGACTTTTTCCAGATATAATGTTAATGCAACATTCTGTGTTCTGGTATTGTATTAATACATCCTTTCTACTCATTGAAGCTATCAAATCTGATCCTGTGAGGTGATGTGCGCCCTCAGGTCTCTATTGAAATTTGTGCTGAAAGGGGTGCAATTACACAGAAAATTGTGGGGGAGTGGAGATACATGAATCCTATATCCATGCTGAGCACACTATCAGCATCAGAGTAAAAGTTAGGGGTAACATATCCTGCTCAGCCCCGTGGCAGCTGTTTCTTTGAACGTTGAGGGACTTTCACATGACATGAGAACTCTCCATTCCTTGCAGGAGGTGTTCAGTATCTTGTAGGATGGTCCTTTGACTGCAAGCTCTTCCACACAGGGACCCTTTTTGTTTACTATAATTCACATATTATGAGGTAGGATGGTAAAGATTATTGCCACAGTCTTACAGAGGAAAAAGCTAAAAGAGAAGACCCAAGTCTCCATTGACTTGCACTTTGTATAGTCATTGACATAAGTACAAAGTTGGTGAATATAAGAATGCACAGAAGTTCTCCACTCACAGCAGTGCTAGCATTTTACACCCACTTTTCACCCTCTTTGCATTGTTGTAAATGACTACACAAGGTTCAGGGCAATGGAGAATCAGGCAAGGAACTTTTCCAAAGTTCACACAGCAAGTAAATTAAAGAGGATTAAAAAGCAGCCGTTCCTGGCTCCCATCCCTAAATTCCATTCATTAGACCATGCCACCCCTGCGTTGTAGCTAACTAACTGTAATAGTAATAATATCCCTGGTAAGACAGAGACAACAATGACCATGCAGAGGAATGTTCTGTGACTAATGACTGTTGCAATAATATTTCACGTCTTTCTAGGTCTGTAGTGGCCCTTCCCAGCCTCCTCAGCCTATCGTCATTCCGAAGCCTGTTCAATCGGTCATTCATGTACCTTTGCAACCAAGCTGCCCAGGCCGAGGCAAGATGGCAAAACTCCTGAATCCAGAAGAAATGACATCCAGGGATTACTATTTTGATTCCTATGCCCACTTTGGAATCCACGAGGTAAGGCTTTGTTTTCTTGGTAAAAATATGGAAGGACAACATGTTTTCAGTGATTTCATGGTTGATTCCCCCCCCCCCCACTGGATGCACCAATTTGCCAAGGACCTGATTCTGCAATCTTTACTCATGGCAATGGTTCCTCTAATTAAATGCTAATGATGAACTCAAAGCCTGTGTATCATTTAGATCCTCAACAGAGGCCGTCAGTGGTGCATGGAACTTGTGCGGTCTCTCTGCACAGTGGGGAATTTCACCTTTAAGTAAGTGGTACTTAGCATGACTGTAAGGGTTGCAGAATGGGTCCACCCCCATGGAAAGGACATACCAATTTAGTAAGATAGTTCTTTCTTTGCTATTTAAAAACAGATTCTGCATACAATACACAGTGGGCCATATTCTCCCTTCAGACATGCATGCAAAGCTCCTATTGATTTCAATGGGAGATGCAAGCATTTATCTAAGGGCAAATTTGGTAAGGACTCCAGAGCAATCTGTCATTCAGAAGACACATCATGGAATCTTTAATGCCCATGCAGTAATTACAGTGACATCCTCGAAGTCTGTGGCATCCTTTCAGCTGTGACTAACTAGGATTTGTTTCCTTTATTTTGGTTTGTGTTTTGTTGGGATTTTTCATAGTGGGGGAGTTTTTTCCACGACTTGTGTATTTTGATTGGCTATTGGGTCTTGATGCTATTTGGAATTTTCCTGTTCTTAGATACATCTTTTTCTGTGCCATTTTCAGAGGGTTTTAGGCATTTTGCAGGGGATGCTGCAGCTTTTAATAGTGATTTGAATGAGGTCAGGATGGAAGCTTGACAAATAGATTTTGGAAGGGCACTCAACACACAAGGGGCAGTATGGAAGAGAGAGCTGTGGGAGAAGGAGACCAAAAGGGTATTGAAGAAGGCATAACATGCTGTGAGAACAATGGAATTGTACCTAAGGGTTATATTAGAAAAGCAGAAATTTTAATACTAGTGGTGATGCACAAGGCAGAAAGAGCCCAGCTTGTCGCTCAGATCCCAGGGTGAGTTTCAGGAGTAGTAGTAAGAAAAATATTGTTATGTCTGTAAATAAATTGAGCAAGTTTGGTATAGGGTCGCTGAGACAGCAGCCCCTCCCTGCCTAACAAGCCCCCTCCCCTTTGAAATCCATAGGAAGGGAGGGAGAAGGTTGCTACCACTTCAGTGCAACTGCCCCGCTCCTTCTGACAGTTATTGGGTAGTTTAATAGCATTCTTTGCATGCAAAAATGTGGAGGACATGATCTCGGCCTTGGCTTGCAAGGACCTTGGAGCAAAGGATGAAACATCCTCTGTGTCTATAAAGAGTTACAGGAACATTTTTCAAATCTGGGTACCTAAAGCTAAGCTGCTAAATCCATACTTAGGCTGAGATTTTCAAAGCCACCAAACGGATTTAGACATTGTATTCCCATTCCAATTAATGACAGTTGGGCTTGCAAATCCCCTAGGCAGCTTTGAAAATCTCATCCCTTTGGTCAAACTTTGCATTCATAAACTATATTTTGTCTTTGAAAATCAGGCCCTAAAAGCACATGCTCAGGAAACATTAAATGGTACCATAATGTGTCAGATCAGTAGTGAGAAACAAACAACATGGGGATTGGACCAGGCTTAATACCATCACAGCAGCTCCTACTTCATGATAAGTGGAATCAGACTCCCTCCCCTACCCTTTTCAGTATTTTATATCAAGCCATATTCCATGAGAAAACATCCTCTTACACGTCAACAGTTATGGATATAACCAGTCCCTTTGAAAGTAACCCACCCAGACGGACAAGCAACCAATGTATAGTAATCTTGTGCACTAGTGCTGCTTCCATCTGCTAGGCATTGGGGCTTTCATATACCTTGGCATTCAACATGCATTCATCCTACTGTCTAAAATTATTCAGTGAGGACCACAGGAGTAATCAAAGTTATTGCCTTTTAGACATAATAGATAACATTTTCATAAGCACCTGAGTGGCTTCTTAGTGTTTCAGCCACTTTTTAAAATGGAATTTAGGTGCCTAAATCACTTAAGTGTTTTTGAAAATATTTCCCCAATTTGTTTGATTTTTCTCACACTAGTGCAAATGAGGATTAACTCCACTGATGTGAATAGAGTTACATCTATGTAAAATTGGTGCAAGAAAGAAATTGGCCCCTATCAATGGCAACTTCAGGAGAAGAAACTGAATGCCTGAAGGGATTGATCAAGAGTTAACCTCTAGATCCTGCACAGATACCCACTAGAAACTGGACTAAGATCCTTCTAGTAGTGAGGCTGTGAGATGCAGGGAATAGGAGAGTAAAATGTGAGTCAGGAGACTTGGTGCTATTCCTAGGTCTGAAACTATTAGCTGTGAAACTTTGGGCAAGTCTGTTGAGCTGACATGTTCACAAGTGTCTACTCAATTTGAGTGCCTCCGTTTTTGGGTACCAAAGTAAAGACACCTAGGAATCTAAAGATGGGCTCCCGTAATTATTGGACAACAGAAAATTTAGTCCTCAATCTCTCTGTGCTCCAGTCCTGATCCCCCAACTTGTAAAAGAGGAATAATAACTACCCCACCTATTGGGGAAACTCACTGTTTATGTATTATTAGTTCACCAATTCATATCCAGGCGAGTAGTGACAGTCGTTACCTTTTACAGGCTGTCTGGTGACGTATGTGAAATCTATTGGAGTTGGTCTAAGTCCAGTTCCTTGTGGAGGTGTCTGTATTATAAAGACTGCCACAACCACTGCAATGTTCATTCTTTGTGGCAGTCTCAACAGAAAGCCCAAGGAGGAGGAGAGTGAGGGGGTTTGCACCGTTTTTGCCTATGCCCGCAGCAGTACTGTGGATTGACTATAATTTCTGGTCGCCATTTTTAACAGTTAAATAATATTTGAGGGAAATAAGAGGAGACGAATAAGACAATGCTGAGTCTTACTATTTCACTTCTTCATGGTTTGCATTTTAAAGTTGTCTTGATTTGTAATGAATCCTAGTTGTGTCCCCAAACAACCTTAAAAAACTCTTCAGCCGGTGAATATGTTAAATTTTAATGACACAATGACTCCTACACCATGAGTAAACATGTGATGCCTTCTTTCAACACAGGAAATGTTAAAGGATGAGGTGCGCACATTAACATATAGAAACTCCATGTATCACAATAAACATGTTTTTAAGGATAAGATTGTATTGGATGTTGGAAGTGGCACAGGAATCCTCTCAATGTTTGCTGCCAAGGCAGGAGCCAAGAAGGTGTATGGGGTAAGAAGAATTTTTCCTAACAACTTTATTTTGGAGAAGGACAGAGGGGGAGACGTAGGTTTTCTTTTATTTTTTTCATGTGTTTCCATGTCTTGTTTTGACCTACAGCCTTACATTGTGGGCCAGATCCTCAACTGGCATAAATGGGTGCCACTCCATTGATTCAGTGGAGCTGTGTCCATTTGCACCAGTTAAGGATCTGGCCAAAGACATCCTTTCAAAAGAGCGAAGGGATCCCTCTTTTAGCTGTTTCGTCTTTCCTTGTGATTGTTGTGTGTGTGACCTGCACTGATCCTAGTAAAAAAAAAAAAAAGTGCAGTCTCTTTTTCCTGCAAACATTAAAGGCATTTGCTCCTCTTGGAAAAGTTGATAGGGAGTGTGCTGCTTTTTCTGATTTTTCTTATGTTCTCGGGACCTTCAAAGCACCAGAAACAAATTCCTCCAATCTAGCCTCCCTGTGCATAACAACCAGAGGAGCTGAAACAGAAAGCATTGGTAGCCTTTTCGTATCCATTACTCCACTCCTCAGAAAAGGCAGTACTTTAAAAGTACTTTATGGACGGAACACTAAAGTGCAGTTCTACTCTGAGAAGTGATTATGTAAAAGTTGCATCTTCTTACTCAATAGGTCTGCTCCCTTTGTGTATTCAGAGTTATTACTGGTGACTTGAAAGTGGTTGATATAAGTTTTTATTGCTTTTCACTCCTGTTTGCCCTGCAGAGCCAAAACAGCTCGGAGAGAGCGAGCTGGATTTTATTCCTTCTTTTAGTCCTCCATCTAAGTTCCATTCAGTTACAGCTGTGCACTGAAGACAAAAGGGTTGCCCAGCTAGATGTAATTGATGGCCTAAGTGAAGGATCTGTACTATTACTGATGAATAAGGCTCCGTGTTTGTCATGAAGGTCACGGATGCCATGGCTGTCTATGACCTCTGTGACTTCTGCCGCGGCCTGTGCGCCTGTCCAGGGAGCCGCCTCAGCCACTCAGGCAGCCCCTGGGCCAATCACACTGGCTGCTGCTGGGGCAGTCTCGGGCCCCCTTAACCTCCAGCAGCAGGAGCCTGGGTGTGTGTGTGGGGGCTCAGGGCTGGGGGTCGGGGTGTGGGGTGGTGCTTACCTGGGGGGGGCGCTCCCCAGAAGGGCGACAGGAACTCCCCCCCCTCAGCTCCGAGCTCCATGTGCTGCCTCCGCCCCCGCAGCTCCCATTGGCCACGGTTCTCAGCCAATGGGAGCTGCAGAACTGGGGACTGTGGAGGAGCGGAGGCACCACATGGAGGTAGGAGCTGGGTAGGGAACCTGCCCCAGCCCTGCCAACCTCCCCCCCATAGCACCCACAGCGCCCCCCCCCCCACCAGCACCTACGGCACCCCCCCAACCATGCCTCCCCCCCGGCTACCCCCCAAGTATCCACTGTGCCCCCAGGCCCACCCCCTCCCAGCACCCATGGAGCCCCCTGGGATCCCCCCCGAGCCACCCCATCCCAAGTATTAGTCAGGGGTATATAGTGAAAGTCATGGACAGATCACGGGCCGTGACCTGTCCATGACGTTTACTAAAAATACCTGTGACTAAAACGTAGCCTTACTGATGAAGCATGAAATGCAAAGAACTGGGCTTGACTCTTACGCCCAAATTTTCAAAAGTGTCCCTTGATTTTGGATGCCACAATTTCTGGGTGCCTAATCTGAGGCACCAGGTGTGTCAGGTTGGGCAGTGCAAAATGGATACAGCCAAATCCGAAGCCACTATTGGAAATGTTCGCTTTAGAGCCTAGACAGAATATGCAGGGCGGGCAGTTAGAAAGCACATATTTTTTCCTGTAAACTGAGCACTTTTGACTTGAAGCTTCAGTGACAATAAAAATGGAGCGCCATGCAATGCTGTTTTTATGGCCACTTTTCAGAATAGAACTGAAATCTATGCTGCTTATGTGATGGTGAAGAGCCTCAAACACCCTGGGCCTCAGTGCATGTTAAAAAGCCAACATTTCCAAAGAGTTATCACACAGGGCTACCTGAGCTGTCCCAGTTTTTTTGTAGATGTAAAATAGGAAATAACTGTGGTGCCTCAGATAGCCCATGTGGGAATTATAGGTTAATGCTGACTTTTTAATGTCAACCACGGTACACACCTAACCTACCAGCCAGAGAGTCACTAACAACACTCTCTTATTTCTAATTGTTCTCTCATCCTCTTCCCCTTTCATCCAAGTCCCAGTTCACTTGTCTAGTTCTCCTCTTGTCTCCCAGTTCAAGGTCTTGAATGTATTCCTTTCTCACTGCCTTCTTCCTCAGTCACCTTCTAGTAGCATCCATGAGTTTCAAACAAGTGAAGGAGGCTCAGTGTGACCAGGGAAGCAGGTCTGAGTGACTTGGTATAAGAACATAGAGAAGGGAGCAGGAGTGTGGCCTGTCCCTAGTTGGGGTGGGATAGTGCTGAGCTACTGAAATTCTTGCTTAGCCCTTGAAACCTGAGACCAGCTCCAGTATTGTAGGTGTGCAAAAAGTGAACCATCTTCTGCAGCAAATCTGTCTGCATTCTATGGTGTTTTTAGCCAAACCAGGGAGCAAAGGCAATTATGAATTGACCCATTAGGACATGAAGACATATGCCTGACATTAGTTTAATTGGGTATTAAATTAGGAGATAAACACACGATACAGAAAACATTATAGAGCAACAGCAAGTTACCATAATGAATGCTTCTAGCTCTTTAGCACAAGGGTATATGCTACCTCTCTTCTTGGACAAATGAGCCAGATATCAGTTTCCTGGGAGCAATGGAGCAGTTAGAATTGTTGGTTTTCTTGCCAGGGTGTTTGAAAGCAAGTGTGTACAGTTCAGAAACCATTGATATCTATTCCTTGTCAAGTGGGGGCAGGAAGGATCACACAGACTCCATTGTAACATCAAGCAAAGCACATAGTCTCCTCTGTTTTAGGCTAGCAAGAGAGGAACTCTTTAAAAAGGAAGTGGTAAGGACACAGTGAGGGGCTAAAACCTGGCTATGCATATCGACCGTCAGTGTATCAGGGGAATCCATAGTAAAAAGAAGAAAGGCTTAGGGAATCAAATTCACATTTGAGAAGCAAATCAAAGGCAGAGCTGGGAAGAGACAGATGGAGTTAGAATTAAGGTTGGTTGGAGAAACTTAAATGGGACCATATTCCATTGGAAGTTGAAATTATGTCTAATCAAAATACTTAGAAAATTGGGTTGATTTGTCTGGAATTTTGTTTTGGAAGAAAACTGGTGAAAAAAGTTCCAACAATGTCAAAGTGCTCTGTTTAGACATTTCTGGAATGAAACGTTTCAATTTTTTGTTTTGAATTACTTTTTGTTTAGACTTTTTTATTTTGTCTTATATATTACAATATGATACCATTTTTTAAAAGTTGAAATTGAATCAAAATGTTTTAATTGACCCAAAACCATTTTTTTTCCAGAATTTTACTGTGTGAAGAATTTTGAATCTTTTGATTTTTATTCCTAGCTGAAATGAAGCTTAAATTTAAAAAATCTCAAAATTCTTCCTGAAAAGGAACTTCTGTCCTCAGCACAGCTCTGGTTAGAAAGGCTGGGAGCAACCTCTAAACATATAGATGTCTCTGTAACCAATTCAAGAGGTATCATGAATAAACACAAGGAACTAGAAGTCTAACTAAAACGTAAGACATAGAGAAATGTAAGTAAGGGTGGTGAAATTGAGGCCCTTTCCTTGCTAAGATTACTGTGGCAGGGCTGGACTGTGCAAACTACCCACAGGAAGGGAAGGCATGCCTCAATGAAGCTAGAAAAGACATTACACCTCAAGGAGGCAGAATTCTTCCCTAGGCTCTCTGAGGTGTGCCTGTTACAGCCCTTCATTATTCCCTTCTACATGCCTGTCCTGCTGCAGGACGAAGGGCAAAAGATGGAGGTAAGGCTATGACTCTACCAGCTCTTCCTTTTGGAGTGGTTTATGCGCACAGGGGTGCTGGCAGGGAGCAGTCTTCATTTTCTCGAGTGCACAAAGTGCAATTGTGATTGGCCCTTACATGGGCTACACAAAAAGGGGAGGCTCCATGCAATCCCTCCATCCTACCCCATGCAATTTCATAAGGGCCAACCATAATTCAGCCTTTAGTGGTTAAAAGAAATTCACTGGACATAGTATCTCTAGTGGGGCATTTTAGACATATGAGGCCATATGACATTCCCATAGGGAAATTAGAGCAATGAGGATTACACAGAGCATTACTGATGCTTCAATGTCAAATTTGGAGGATATATTGCATGTGGCTTCCCAAGGGGTTTGTTCAAGGTACAGCACCACTCAGTGTTTCGATTTACAGCTTGGAGGATAAAGAGAAGATTGCGCGAATCACACTAGCAGGTGGCACAAAGTTTGGACAGAATCCCGAATAGTTTGATGGGTATAGTGGTTGCACTTTAAAACTTTCCACTTGTGCCTCAGTATTTACTCCAAATATTGAGGTAACATTGCCAAGTTAGCTACGGGAATTGGAAAATGTTTAGGTGCCACCACTATATAATATAACAATAATCATCATAAGTGTGCTGGTGACATGGATTGAAAAATCCATCAAGGCAATTCAATAAAGGCAAACGTAAAGTGGTTCATGGAGGAAGACATAATTAATTGCACACATTTTAAATGGAGGGACATTGGCTAGGCAGCAATCCTGCAGTTAAAGCAACTCCAGTGGGATATAAATTGAATTCTTGTCAACAATCGGATGCTACTACAAAAAAGGCATATGTTTATCTTGGGTTGTAGTAATAAGAATGGCATAAATCCAGCAAGGTTATTATTGTGCACTGCCCAGCAATGCTTAGGGATTAATCGGTTTACTGCAGTTCTGAGTGCCATATTTTAAAAAAGAGACACAAATTAGGAGACTTCAGAGGGAAAAACATACAGTTTTCTACAGATATTAAAGCACTTTTACAAACATGGGTAACTGTCATGATCCTCATTTTCCAGGCGAAGGAACTGAGGCATGGAGAGGTTAAATGACACGTGTAGGGTCAGGCAGAGTTAATGGCCAAGCTGGGGACAGGAGCCATGACTCTTAACCCCTCATTTCATGCCCATTAAAAGACTTAAAGTAAGACTTATGAAGAAAACTGGAGAGAACTGAGCATGTGCAGTCTGTTGAAAATATGACAGAGGTGAAAGTTATTTATCTATAAATATGAGAAAGGAGAATTTAAAAGAAGACAAGGATCAGTAATTCCCATTAGTTCAGTGAGGAAAAAATAAGGACATCTTCAACTTGAAATCTAGTCTGTTTAAAAAAAAAATTAAAACTCATTTCAAGTACAATACCTACCCTTGAGTCCCTCTGTACATTTTTGTGCTTTTATAGATGGAAGTTCCTATTTCAGAAAATGTTTCTTTTTCCTTTTTATGGGTGAAACACCCACATAAATGAAGGCAAAACTGACTCAATGACTCATGATACAGAGGAAGCCGTGAAACCAACCATAATCAAAAAGTGCTCTCAAATAGACAGACTAAACGAATTGGTCTCTTTCAGTTACAGTTGTCTTAGGTGCTAATTCTAACAGCAGGTATACTTTTTCTACCACAAATGTGAATTTTAAGTTGGCAGTGTCTCTTGAAGTTGCAGCATGTGAAAACTAAGTAAAATATCTGGAAAATTATTATAACTCTCAGAATAGCTCAGTCAGGAGATAAAGCTGCCTAGAGAGATGGTAATGGATAATTAATTTAATACTGCCATAATAATGCCGGAGGATGGATTAGGTGACCTAGTTCAAGGTTCTTTCCAACCCAAAGGAATCTATTATTCCAAATATAGCATTTTGGTTAATTAGTTTACTCTCTCATTTTTATACTGTACTATTTCTTAGCTGATTATCTGCAAGTAATAAGGGCCATTAAAATTTATTTAAATAATCAATTCAATTAGATAATCAACAGTTTCAGATAAATGTGGGGGGCTGGAAGTGTCAGCAGAGTTTTGAACTCTGCAGGAGAAAGGCTTCAGCCTTTCACTTGCAGAACTTATCCGCTCTACAGGAGCAAGCTGAAGACTGTATAAACTCTGCAGGAAAAAGTCTCTCTCTTGTAGCACTTACAAATTTTGCAAGCTAAAGTGTTTAGGACTTCAAAAAAAGTGATGATCTGTGTTACAACTTGGCCCAGTCCCCCTCTTGATGGTCACCAGTCTGTTGTAAGTGGATCCAGCCCCTTTGTCCCATGTGCTTCAAAGCCCCCTGAGCCTGGGTACTCTAGTGGCTATTTTTAGCTCTGGGTCTGTAGGGCACATTCTCATGCACAGACCTCTTGTCTTAGTCCTTCCTTGGATCATGGGACTCCTCAGTCCAGCCTCCCTGATCCCTGAAACCAGTGCCACAGATCTCCCACGCCCTCCAGTTGCTTACACATGGTCCCCCAGAGTTCCACCTACCTGTGGGCAATCTGGCTTTTAGTTTCACTCCTATGGGGACACTGGGACAGGCAAACAAGGAACACCCCATAAGAGAGACCATTGTTCCATGGGATTGGTCGGCAGTTGAGAGACAATTAAATTTGATGGTCCTAAATCAACGGTGCTCAAACTATGGGACATGGGAATGTGCGAGCTATGTGCTTTTTTGTGTGTGTGGTTTTGTTTGGGTTTTTGAAGAGCTCTGGCTGTCAGCCCCAGATGCCTGGGGGCCGTGCAGAAGGGCCATGCACACCGGGGAGGCGGGGATAAATGGGACAGACAGAGCCCCGCCTCCCAGGCTCTCCTCCCCACCCGCTCACACTCAATTGCTCACCAGGAGATGGTGGGGCTCCAGCTGTCAGCCCCAGGATAGCAGCAGCAGCACAAAAGTAAGGGTGGCAATGGGGCACTGAGTCTACTGTGAAAAGTGATCTTGACAAATAGCACTTTTCACATTGCCTGCCCCACTTCTTCGCGGCTGCTGGCACAGTGCTGCCTTCAGAGCTGGGTGGTGGTATATGTACTTGTGGGGGAGGGGGAGGCCGTAAACAACTACAGAGACAAAGAAGGGGGGCCCAATCAAAATTCTGTTTGAGAACCACTGTCCTAGATAGTGCCGTGATTGCTTCTCAGTTATAGCTATTCAACTAGCGAACAAGCAACTTTCCTGGGCAGGGTGGCTGTCTAGAATTCATCACAGGAATCTTGCCTTCGGCAAGGTTAGGCATGAATTCAGCCCCTAGTATAAAATGGATGTCCTAATCCAAAAATGAAGGTTACAGTACAAAGCAGAGTTCAGGATTTGTTCCAGACACATCACAGAGTTGACGGAGGGTGTAGGTGGGTCATGATATTTTCATAAATACGGAAGGACATTTATTGCCAGAATATCAACATGTGAATATTTGTTGACAGAATTTGAGAATTGTAGTACATTTTCCAGGTTAGGATAGAGAGCAGCTACTAAATAAGGCACTCCACCTACTCACATCTGCCAGACTTTTTTTTTTTTTTTAAATACCTGCTCTACTTGGCCTCCTAGATCTGATTCAGCATCATTCCAATATGGAAGGAAGACAGTGTGATTTGTAAAAACCAATTCCTACTTCCAACTTCTTTGTGCTGATCAGGTAGCACAAGGGGACAGCTGGGCATTCCCTTTGCATAGGTGAATGCTGGGATAGTTTAAAGCCAGCCTCCTACAGCATAGGGGCATATTGGTGAGCTGCAGGGGATGTGACCAAAGTGTGCTGTGCTCCACTGATCCTAGATAAGTGGAACCACCTCTGTGGTTGTAGTAACTCGTGCCAAGGGCCTAACTGGCTCCTGGCTGCCAGGATTGGGAAATGGGATTGAGAGATGATGGAAAGCCACTATGGAGAATAGAAAAAAAGATGGAAAGCCACTTATGCCCCACATCTCTTCAAGTGTGTCCAGAATAGATCAGGTGCTATCGAAGATGTAGTCTGTACATTTTTAAGCCAGGAAGGAATAACTGAAGGACTAGTTTAGACCTCCTTTACATTACAGAAGTAACTCTGCTGAAGTCAATGACTCTGAGTCTCCAGTTTTATGCTGAAATACACAGATGTTAATGAGAGGATAATCGGGCCCAGTGGAGTCACATGGATGTAAAACTCATGTGAGAGCAGAATCTGTCTGTGAGTCTCCAAAAGAGATATGGGAAGCAGCACAGCATTTGATATAGGACACAAAAGAGCGCTAGAAGAAGGTCCTGGAGGCATACGAATTCTGAAGGTTGTTTTAAAAGTACATAAAATATATCAGTAATTTCATATATGTGAATTTTGGAATTCCCTTTCAAAGGAACATATTGTTGTCAAAGTAGGTAAGTCATGGAACTGATGAATAATTGCTTTTCCAAACAGACAAGTACTGAAATGGTTTGGATGTAGACACAACTTGAACAGTTTGGAAGCATATTTTTTCAACTGCGTTTGGAAATTTTGCAACACGCTATTCATCCTCTTGAGTTCTTTAATGATTGGCTTTTTTGGGGTGGTGGTGCTGGTGGAGGAAAGTAACAGATTTTCCAACAGATTCTGAAGTAATTGGGATAAATTCAGGTATTATTATGTGTGCTATGCAGTCTATTACATATGACCTCTTTCTTTCATATTTTCACATGGGTTTAGAGAAAGTTTCACATATAATACACACACTTCACAGTTTTCATGCTAAGATATCACCCTCTCCATGGTGGGACTGCCGATAAAGCTTTGATTTATCTGCTGTCTATGGTTGCATGTTTTGTACAGATTCTGCTGTGTTCAATAGATTTTATTTCTGTTCAGTATGTCTGAAGTCTTTAACACAAAGCTCTCCTTTGTCCTGTTCTTCTTTAGATTGAATGCTCCAGTATATCTGACTACTCAGAAAAAATTATCAAGGCGAACCACTTGGACAACAGTAAGACATCTAAGAATAGTTTCTGTGAAAAATGGTGGCAGACTGGGGCCTGCACACTCTGATTGATTTCTGTTGTGTAGTTTACATGTAATTGATGGTTTGGTACATATAGCTGATGATTGATGTATTTCGATATAAATAGAAAACAAAAGATACCTATTTACAGCTCTAGGCAACTGGACAATTACTGAGAATCACTATCCACGCTGGTATAATCACCCAGGAGCACATGAGTGCTTATATGCAATGAAAGTAAATGAACCTAACTAGCTGGTAATTCAATGTAGCAAAATAGACCCAGATGCTACCTTCAGTGATTCACTCAATCCACAGCAAATAGATGACCTTTACAGAGGCTTTTTCAAACTGGGGTTGGGGACAAGTTCAAGAATCAAGGGGCCTCTCATGGAAGGTATGTCTTCATTACAGAGTGAGCCATGACTAGGCTAGCCCTGGTAGAAGGTTCCCTAGTGCAGACCCCTACCGTGTGCCAGACCCATGTAGCTGAATCCACATTGGTGCTGTACTAAGTGCTCCTGTGCTGGGGTAGACTTTTGGCAGGACATTCTGTGGCTCTCAGCCCCGTACTAAGCTGTGCTGTTGCCAACAGACAGCACTCTGGGGGGACGATTTCTCACATGGCATGTTTATTCAAATCTGGGGAAGCACAGCAGAACTGTAACAGGCAACTTGGGGTTTAAATGCCGAGCTAGTGTAGGTGACTTCCAGTGCAGAAGAAGTGAGGAGGTCGAGAGCAAGAAAACATGGCCGAGGTGGAATTGTGGGAATGCAATGGAGGAGTTGATTAGCCTGTGTCCTCACTGCAAAGTAGATGGGTTGCCAGCCTGGGCTGAGGAGAAACACAAGCTCAAGCCCATGCTGGGCTCAAGCCCAGCAGCATATGCTAACCTCGGTTTAAAGCACTCTCAAGCATGAGTAAGAGGTTCTGTGTGGACGACAGGGGGTTGGGTAAACACCCATGTTAGATCCCAGGCTAACTCTCCAGTGAAGACTTACCCTGTTGGCAGTACACTCTCTTCTCTGCCAACCGGTCTTCTCTCCAGTAAAACTTTCATTGACTTGAACTATAGTTTTGCCAGAGAAAGATTTGCAAGGCTATTTTTTAAATGTTAAAAGCAGCTGCAGTGGTCTCTGCCATGCAGTCGGCAATACCGTCAATGACTGCTTAATCTATACTGACATTTAGGGAGCTGTGAGTGGTGAAACTAAACTGGTCAGTCTGGGAGCTATAGAACTAGAGAGAAGAACCACAAGGTCTGTCTGTGTCCAGTAGCTGAATCCAGTTTCTTCTCGAGCATGAAGACTCAAGGTGCAAAAATTTGGATATAGATTTCAACCTGTTCATGGGTGTTTGGATCTGGGGGGTGGGGGGAAGGTTGTTCAACTTATCAGAGGGGTCACCAAATGAAATTAATAGGCAGCAGGTTTAAAACAAAAGGAAGTATTTTTTCACACAATGCGCAGTCAACCTGTGGACCTCCTTGCCAGAGGATGTTGTGAAGGCCAAGATTATAACAGGGTTCAAAAAAGAATTAGGTAAATTCATGGAGGATAGGTTCATGGAGGATGGGCAGGGATGGTGTCCCTAGCCTCTGTTTGCCAGAAGCTGGGAATGGGCAAGAGGGGATGGATCACTTGAGGATTACCTGTTCTGTTCATTCCCTCTGGGGCACCTAGCATTGGCTACTGTTGGAAGACAGGATATTGGACTAGATGGACCTTTGGTCTGACCCAGTATGGCCGTTCTTATGTTCTTATATAAAGATGGGGGCTATTTGAAAAATTCTAATCTAGAACTTGGTTCCAATTTCAAACACACTTGATGCTTGGGAGGTGTTCAGCTCTGAGGTCTGGGATATTGATTCAGAGCTACTTCTAGTGTTATGTACAGAAATCTGATAATGAAACAGGACTGCTACAAGCCTTCTCTATGGGGTTCAATGACTGAGCAAATTACCTTTTTTTCAGATAGATCCATCCCTAACCTCCCTGAATCTGTGATCCTCCATAATGAACAATTTTGGCCTAATCGTGCTGTCACTAACATAGGTGGAAATCATAGGAGTAACACCACTGACATCAATTAGTTCACACCAGTGTAAAACCCAAAATAAAACCCTCTTTGTTTACCAAGACACACCATTCTCTAGAGAGTCCAAAGGCCATAGTCTGCTCTCGGTTACACCAGTGTAAATCTGGAGTCACTCCAATGAAATTAATGGAATATCTCCACATTACACTGGTATAAATGAGAGCAAGCCCTGACTCCAAGGATCCCTTTTCCTCTCCTAAAACTCATAGAAGCTTTAAATTTAAAAAGATCCTTTAAAGTTAATTTAGACTAGAACCAGTGAAAGAAGCTGAACGGACAGCTGTTTACCAAAAACTAGGTACAACACAGCTAGCGGCAGTGTAAACTTCCCCCACACTATGCCTTTTAAAGTGTTTTACATTAGCGAAGGTTTGCGGCCCAGGTTGTGTGTGTGTGTATTCATACATGTATATATAAAAAAATTCAGTTTCTAGGTCTGTCATTCTGGCAGCTGTCAACAGTGCTAAAATTCACCCCAAAGGAATCATCAGGACTGTTCTGACATGTGATAGAAGTAGGGTACCTGAGTGTTGTAGCAATCATATTATGGAAGGATGAAATTCACCTCTGTGCTTCATTTAAATTTTAAAATAGAGTTTAAGTGGGACATTAAGCTTGTGTTGGCTCCATTGTTACCCAGAATGATGCATCCACATAAAAAAATTCAGGCAAACTCATATTTCAGAACCTAGTTTTCCAATGCCAAGTTTTCCAAATCATCTAACACAGCTTTAATATCACATAGTTCAACTTAATGCTGGTCAAACAGTAATCTCCCACCCACCATGATTTCTGATTATTTTAGTGAATAAAAACATTGAGTTCTGTTTGCTAAGATTAATGGGTTTCTATTATTTGGTATGCAGAAGTATTTGTACTAGTGCTAGGTGTTCAGGAAAGTTTCTGTGAATCCTAAAGGTTTTACACATTTTAGCACAGATAATGATTTGTCTAAAAATTAATATTGGAAAGTGCATTCATATCTAATCACTACATTTTTTTATTCTCCTGTGTCAAACATTTCAATTGTCCAGTCAGGGAACAGACCCAGTGCCATCTCACTTCAGTAACTATCCCAAAACACAAAGGGTGTATTGTAGCAAAGGGAACAGTTTGCAAACAACCCATAGTTTGAAAAATTATTTGTCCAAACTATTTGGAAGAAAACTTAGAAATAATTAATATTTCTGGAGAAAGTCAGGACTCATTTGTGAATAATTTGCTAATTACAAAGGGAGCTAATTATTTGTAACAAATAATGCAACCAGATCTAGATCACCTCTAGCATTACTGTAAATAAAATATATGCTCTCATTTACACCAATATTATCATGGTGCAATTCCATTGACTTTAATAAGTTACTCCTGGTTTTCATCTGTGAAAGTCAGAGGAGAATCAGAGCCTACTTGTGTCCTTCCACAGAAGTAAAATGAAGCACTTACATTACTTTATGCATACCTGCTATTATGATAACAAAATAAACAGATCAAGGCTGGATTTTGCTGTAAAGTTAGGTTTATTCAAACCAAATGGGTTACTTAATCCACGTGGTGCTGCGAATTCAATTAGCTTCGGTGATTCACCTCACCCCCTCTACTTCCATTCTTGGTTAAAAAAGAAAGCGAGAGAGTATTTAGAGAGGAGTACACCTTTGAATTAGAAGCGGCAGTGGGAAAGAATGCGTAGGTTGTTCCAATCTGGTTTGTATAACTCAGTGTACTTGGAGGCAGGTATATTAAATTGAAAGCTTAGGTGGGATGTAACTTAAATGAAGGCAAATAGAATATACACCTAATATGTATTTCTGCATAATCAAAACCCTTTTGAAACATTTTTAACATGAGTCAAGGGTTGTTTGATCCTTTTTCAAACAAGAGTTTCCTAATTATTTCATAAGATTTAGAGTGCTTATGGAAAAAATGACAGAGAACTTGCTACCAAAGTAAATGAGTATAAATTGCCAATGGTGGGCCATATTCAGAGCTGATGTGAGTGCTGTTCCCAAGGAAGTCTGTGGGCCAAATGCAGTGGCCCATACAGATGAAAGTGGAGGGACCATGCATACATGATGTCAGAATCATTCAGTGACTATATAACTGTGCCCTTAACTAGGTATGATCCACGTACATTCCTTATGTTAAAACTCAAATAACTGAACCGTAAATGCCTTGTAGCAGCAAAACATGATCCTTGCACTTTTGCTGCTATGGGGTATGACTTACATGGTGCAAGTTGCATGTTGTAAAGGTAGGTAAGAAAACACTCTGCAAGTGGTAAAGCAGTGTCACTTGCATTCATTTTACACTATAACTCTTAAGGGGTAGAGTAAGTGTGTGAGTCTGTGTGTGTTGAGGAGGGGTTGTAACGGGAAGAGAATGTAAGATAAAGAAGGGGCTCTGCTTTATTTTAAATGCTCCTGTTAATTGCTTTCCTTGCTACAACCCACTCTTCTTCCCCGCTCAGTGTAAGCGGAAGAATCAAGCTCTGTTTACAAATGTTGGCCCTCATTTTGAACTCATTGGTTTTTCACTAATGTAAATTAATGGATCTCACTGATACTACTCTTTATTCACATTGGTGTGGAGACACAGAGTCTGGGTCTTTGTTCAGATGGACCTACCTCATCCCCGGACTGGAATTTCTTCCCCCCTTCACAGAATTTTACTGCAGGAGGGGATGATCTGCTATATTATTATTCTTTGTTGATCCAGGTGATGTGATTTCGCCCCCCCTTCAGTGACTTGCCGGCAATTTAACAAGCTTCACTGTGTGTTCTCCCTGCGGTCTGCAAGTTAGGTCTTCAGCCACTCCAAACTTAATAACCTTCTCAGCTCCTTGAAACTAATGGGCTGCTGACAAAACACCTGACAGGAATGTTTTTCAAAA